AGTCCTTCCAAAGAAAGCGCCATCAGCAGTGAAAACTACTCAGCATCCAGCTGGCAAGGGGAGGGGTACATCAACCACTTGATTTCCTTCCCGACCTTTTTGAAAGCATCTAATTCCCTGAAAAATGTGGCAGATAATTTTCTTGGCTTCTCCAGTATCCCACTATTTAATTTTTTTTGTAAGTGCAAAATTTACCGATTTTTTTTTTTTTCTGTTGGTTTGTTTGTTTGGTTTTGGTTTTTTTTTCCCCTGAAAACCGTATAAATTCCCCTTGGTCAGCCCAGAGGAATATTTTTTTCAGTTGCAAGAAAATGTCATAAATGCACTAATAAGAGTCTGGGCAGCTGCTGCCTGACTTTTGCAACCACCCTCCCGGGGTAGGGAGAGCTTTGGAACAGCTTTAAACTGGATGAGAGTAGATTTAGATGGGATATTAGGGAGAAATTCCTTCCTGTGGGTGTGGTGAGGCCTTGGCACAGGGTGCCCAGAGAATCTACGGCTGCCCCATCCCTGGAAATGTTCAAAGCCAGGTTGGACAGGGCTTGGAGCAGCCTGGGATAGTGGAAGTTGTTTCTTACAGCAGGGTGTGGGATTGGATGATCTTGAAAATCCCTTTAAACCCAAACCCTGCTGTGGTTCTGAGCTCTGTGCCCACATTCCAGGCTGATAAACCAAGGCCACGCTGGAAAGTGCTGCAGATGAAGCTGCCCTGACATGAACGGAGCACAATGCGTGGCTGCACCTACACAGAGATGTACACACAGCTCCCAGGCACCCTAACCATGCAAAGAATTCCTGGATGTGTGACTGGGATCCCACCGGGCATCTCCCCCACCCTGCACATCCAAAGGAGAGGATGTGTGCTGCACCGAATGTAGGCAGGAACGTGACTGGTCCTTCCCTTCCAAGTTTCCTTTAGAGGGAATCAAATAAATAAATTGAAAAAAAAAAAAGACATGAGAAGAGGAGGGTGAATCATGGCTTAGTCAGAGTTGGTGCTGGCATTCTGATGACAGGGAAGGCTGGCTGGTGACCAGTGGGTTCTTCCAAAGGGGATGGAGAATGAAGTCTGGAGCTGTTATTTTGGGATGCATCCAGAGCTACTGTGTCAGGATGGGTTGCTAGGTGAGTTTGACGTTGGAGCAGCCGTGGAACAAAAGAGGGAATTGTGAGGTTTTAGTTTTGGTGTTTCAGAGAAGTTTGAAGACTTTAAACCCCATAAGAGCTGGGTATTCCATTCTCACAGAAATTGAGTTTTCCCCTTTCTCTTCCAGACCTTCCCTTTTTGTACTTCCCTCTCCCACCTCTCTGGACCTGCTGCATTAATCCCTTGGACTCTTAAGGTCAATTTCTTTCCCATTTACCCCCGTGATTTTCACATTTCAAACCCTGGCATTGCATTTATACCCCTGTCCCTTCTCATTTATTAAATATCTGCCAGTTCCTGACTGGGGTATGTGTGGCACACACACTGGCTGGTGGATCCCTCCCTCCACCCTCTGTCCCTCAGCGTGGGACAGCATCCCTGTCTGTCTGTCTGTCCCGTGTCACCCCGTGCCTGTGGTGGCTCTCCAGGAGCTGACACATCCTCCTGACAGCATCCAGGCTGCACCAGTGACTTGATTTCCTGAAAAATCGCTGAGCTAAGCACCCCTTTGGGCTTCTTATCACAGCAGCTGCCAGCAGCGTGTTGTTTACCACTCCAGGTGCTATTTTTAGGAAGCTGGGATTTTGCATAGCACGGTTTGGGAGAGGGGAAAAAAAATAATCCTCTGAGTGCACCTAGTGCCATCCCTGCCCTCTCCCCAGGGTGCAAGTGCCTTAAAAATAGAAATGCTTCTTCCAGCTGACCTCCCTGGCAGCAGCTGGGTGCTGGTGCCTTTGAAATCTAGGCCACTTATTTAGGAGTCGAAGCTTTCCGCTCCAGTTATTTGGGAGTTTCTAAGCCAAGAGTCACTAGGTGGATCTAATTTGAAGCGACTGTGATTTTAATTCAGGCAGGGTTTCGCTTTCGGGCTCCTTTTCATGTCGTGGGGGTGGTGATTTGTGAGGTGGGAAAGAGCCGTGGAGAGGGGACAGAGCTGCTGGGGGAAGGGGGATGATGATGATGATGATGATGCCTGAATTCCTCGTCCTGTAAAATCATGTGAATTTTTGTCCTCCTTCTGACTCATGCTCTAGCTGGGAACAGATTTTCTGCTGCCCTACATGTGAAAAGGATTTGGGGGTTTTGTGCAGAGTGGTGCAGGGAGGGCTGTTGTGCCTCACTCCCATCCCATCCTTGCCAACTGGAGCACTCACAGCTCTCTCCCGTCTTCCTTCCCACACCCCAAATCTCTGGTTCTTTTCCAGCTCCCTCATAGTAGCTTTTTTAAAAATTTCTTTTTAAATTTTTTTTTTCTTTTTGCCTGTGAATATTTTTTCCCCTTGTGTAGGAGAGGGAAAGATTGTGCACTTTTTACTTCAGCTTGGCTCCATGTAAGGAATTAGCCAGAAATATCTTCCTTCTAAATGCGTTATAAAAATACAAGCCTTTGCTTCCAGAGAAGGAAAATGCCCTAAGTAAAAAAAGATTATTGAACATTTTAGGTATCTGAGATGCTCCTTATCAGGCTTTAAATTCTGAAGCAAAATTTGCTGTATTAAACACCATCAAAGCAGATGCTCCCACCTCTACAGCTCTTCCCACCCGTGACACAATCCCACATTTCCCTGCTGTGGCAAATTCCCAAAATCCTCCCAAAGAAACCTCTCCATGCCAGGTGGGACCATCCCCATCAGTGCTGGGGGACAAGGGGGTTTGGGCACCTCCGTGTTGGGATTTGGGCACCATCACAGGAATTTTCAGGGTGGTCCCAACCCCTCTGTGCTGCAAACAGAGGCTGTGTGGGGGTGTCAGCATTGCTGGGGTGCAGTTTGCAGCCTAATTTAGAGTGGCAATATAACTTGTAGGAACATGGCGAGTGGATTAAGACATTTAATAAACAAATAAAAAATGGTATAATTATTATTATCATGATTATTATTATTATCATTATTACAGGTTTGATTTTTATTATATTTTATTATTTATTGTATATGAACATGGCATAATTAAATTATTAGTAATATGAAAATTAAATTATTCGTAAAATGAAAAATAATAAAATTAACAATTTATTAATTAAACAATTAAATTTTTAGTAAAATAAAAAATAATAAAATAATAAAAAATTATGAAAACATTAAATAATAAATAATAGTAAAATGAAAAAAGAAATAATAATGAAAAAATAAAATGAAATAATGAAATAATGAGAAAATTAAAAATGAAAGAATAAATAACAGTAAAATGAAAAAAATGACGATAGCAAAATAATTTTATGAAAACATTAAATAATAAATAATAGTAAAATGAAAAAATAAACAATAATGAAAAAATAAAATGAAATAAATAATGAAATAATGAAAAATTAAAAAAAGAAAAAATAAATAATATTAATATAAAAAAATCATTTCATGAAAACATTAAATAATAAATATTGAAACGAGGTTATTAAATGAAAATAATATTAATTTTAAAAAATATTGGTTAAAAATTAGCATTTTACGCCCGTTTGCGAGCAGAGGCTCCCGCGGAGCATCCCCAGCGCTGCTGCTGGCGCAGGGACGCGGAGCGGGGCGGAGCGGCCGCGGTGGCCGCGGGCGGAGGCGGAGCCGCCGCATCCCGGGCATCCCCTCCGGGGGAGGCGGCGCAAGCGGCACCGCATGTGAGACGTGAGCGACGTGCAGGAGCGCAGGGCCGGCATCCCCCGGCCCCCCGGGACCCCCCGGGACCCCCGGCCCGAACCCGCTGGCCGCGGAGTGAGCGGCGCAAGGGGCGCGCAGCGGAGCCCCCCCGCATCCCACCGCTGTGTACTTAGGGTTCCTTTCTCTTTCCCCCTCCCTCTATTTTATTTTTAAAAATTGTTTTTATTTTATTTGCCTATAGTTAATTTTTTTTAATTTTATTTTTTTATTTGGTTCAACTTTATTCCCATGTTTTTAATTTCCTTTCCCCCTTCTTATTTTCACCTCTATTCCCTATTTTATTTTCTTAATTAATGTTTAATTAATGTTTTTTTTCTCTTTATGTCTTTTACTCCTTTTTTATTTTTAAAGTGCTTTTTTAAAAAGTTTATTATTGCCGAGTTTCCATTTTCCATTAAAAAATTAAATTCAATTTCCATAATTTTACATCATTTTGCATCATTTTATATTGTTTTACATCGTTGATTGAAAAGGCGCGAGAGATGAAATAGGGCATTTATTTGACCATGAATATTTTGGTCTGGGGGTGCCCTGCGCGCCCCAGATCCCCGCGGTGGGGGCGGGGTCGGTGTCGCGCTCCCCCCGCGGAACAAAGCGCGTCCTTTGTCCGCGCTGCAGCGCGGGCCGCGGCCGCCAGGGGGCGCCAGGGGCCGTGCCGGCATCCGCGCCTTCATCCTCCTCCCCATCCTCCTCCTCCTCCCTCTCCTTCCCATCCTCCTCCCTCTCCTCCTCCTCCTCCTCCTCCTCCTCGGCGGCGCCGCAGCGCCCGCCCGGCCCGGCCCGGCCCGTCCCGTCCCGCCCCGCCCCGGAGGCGGTCCCGGCCTGTCGGGATAGAAAGAGGAGGCGCGGCGGCTGCCGGCACATCGTGAGCGGAGCCGGCCTGAGCAGCAGCCGCGATTGTAGCACCGCTCCTTCCCCGCGTGGAGATTCTCCTGCCTTTCTTCTCTTGCTATTTTTTTTTTCCGATTTAAAAGGAAAGATATTTTAATTTTTTATCTTTTTTTTTTTTTTTAAATACCTGTATTTTTTCCACCCCGCTTTCCATCGCGGTTCGCAGCGGGGCTCGCCCTCGCTCCCTCTCAGCGCGCAGCGGCTGCGCTGGGGCCATTCCTGCCCGGCTTTGTGCCCTGCAGACCCGGCCCTCCTCTTCCTCCTCCTCCTCCCCCTCCTGCCGTAAAACCTTCAGGAGGCTCGCAGCCGCTCGCCCAAACCACCGACTGCAACAAAACCCCTTTTTATTCTATTTTTTATCATATATTTCCCGCACCTCCTCCCCCCTCCCCTTTTTTATTTCTCCTCCTCCCTCCCTCAAACGCATCAAGGTGGACGCGGAGCGCAAAAAGACCTTTGTTTTAAAAATGCCCATGGAGCTGACTCAAAGCCGCATCCAGAAGATTTGGCTTCCCAATGACAACCGGCCGGCGCTGCCCCGCCGCTGTGAGTACGGACACGGCAGCATCCCGGTGGGATGGCATGGAGGGATGGGATGGATGGATGGGGAGTGGAATTCTTCCCCTTTCTCTGCGCATCGTGGCGGGGCTTTTTGCAGCATCCTTTCTCCTCGGTGTGCCCGCATCCCATCCCCAGCATCCCGGCGGTGCCCGCATCCCAGCCCCATCCCCAAAATCCCGGCCCCAGAATCCCAGGCGGTGACCGCATCTCATCCCCAGCATCTCATCCCCAGCATCCCAGCCCCATCCCCAGCATCCCGGCGCTGCCATCCCGTGACTCAGGCAGGGCAGGAAGGTGCATTCCGCTGTCACATGGCCCCGCAGGATGCGGGGAGGTGCCGCCGCCACACGCGTGGCCCCGTTTCCACTCTGCGCTGCCAGCGCTGGGATTAAATTAAAAGGGAAGAAGGGAGCAGGTTGTTCGCCTCGGTTGTTCACCTCGCAGCCGGGATTTGCGCCGTGTCAAGCGGCTCGCCCGGGGATTTGTTAATGGTGGAAGCATGAATGGTGTGGGCTGGAAGGGACCGTAAGGATAATCTCGTTCCACAACCCTCCTGCCATGTGACAGGACACCTTCCACTAGACCGGGTTGCTCCAAATCCTGTCCAATTAGCGTGTTAAAAATTTTTTTGGGGAGATGGAGGGAGGATTAGGGCAATGCATTTAAAACCCCAACCAGACACAGCCGTTTGCAGTTTACAATTTAACCCTGAGGCGATGTGGAGGCAGGTGGAGGGGAAGGCACAAATCAGCGCTGAAACTCCTGCATCGGTTTCCCCTTGTCTCTGAAGTTCGCAATATAAAAATGTTTGGGTCATCCCGGTGTTACTATCAAGCAAATCTTGAATCGTGATCCAATCCGAAAGCTCAGGAAGCAGCTCTTTAGCAGCCACACTGACAGGCTGCCGGTTGTGCGACTCCCAGCTCTAAACGAGCCTCGCAGGAATGCGCGGAGCCGGGATGGAGGGGGTGGCACTCGCAGCCTGGCGAGGAGGGATGGAAGTGGCTTTGCGTGAATCAGCCTTTCCGCTGCTTGCCTTCATCAGGCGTTTAAAGTCCCTTCCGATGTTTATTTACCTTGGCTGGAAAGTTTCCCCTTCTAAATAATAATTTTTTTAAAAAAATAGACACGGAGTGAACTTGCCCGCTGGTGCCGCCCGCGGCTGTGGGTCAGGCACCCTGGAGCAGATGTTGGGATGCGCAGCCCTGCAGCGGGAGCTGCCGAGGAAATGGGATTGCAGCAACAGGCTGCACATCTGGGCAGCCCAGGGGGTGTGCTTAGAGTGGGGTAAAGCGTCTCCCGGCTTAATGCTTTGCACGTGTGTCTCTGTGGCTGGGCTTCTCTCAAGGACTGGCACCTCTGAAAGAAATCCCTTGTGCACGCAGTGGTTTTTTGCCACTTCGTTCGCCGGGTTTCTCAGCGAGAGCTCTCTTTTGGTAGCGGAAAAAACGAACCTATTTGATATATTAAGGCACCGAGGGGATTATTAATAACATAATGTGGCTTGTAATTATATTTTCTCGGGGTGGGAGCGAGCCACGCTGTGCAATGTGAGAAGAGGGTTTTTAGGCTTTTTTTAGCCAACTCTTTTTTTAACTCGAGGTATTTTAAACGTGCTATTAATTCCTCAGCAGCAACAAAGAGCGAGGATGGGAGGGAAGGGAGGGATAACGGGGACCACTTCCAGCGTGATGCCTGGAGGGAGCGGGCGCATCCCGGGTGTGAGCATCCTCTGGGAATGCCGCATCCCGGGTGTGAAACAACCACTCCGATGGTGTGCTGGCTGGTCCAGGGCAGGCTGCGGGGGTTCCTCCAGCTGCCCTTTCGACGGCGATCCATTAAATTGCTGTCACGCCGCACGTCTCTCACGTAGGGGCTGGGAAAGGGGAGCCCTCGAAGGCGCTGGCTGGGCAGAGCGGGGACAGGGGAGGGGGATGCTCGGGCAGGGAAGGGGCTGCGCCGCCTCTCTCCGTCCTTGTGGCTGCTTTTCCCCGTCCCTGGGGCTCGGTGGGCGTGGGACACACGGCGGGGATGGTCCGGTTCGGTGGCGGTGACAACAGGGTGGGATCAGGGAAGGTGCTGGGATTGCAGCTGGGAAAAGGGGATTAGGACTGACAGAACGGGCAGTCTGGGTTTATGGGGGCTTTGGGGAATATTTAGGAGGAGACAGTGAAAATGCCTCAAGTGGGGAGGTGGCTGTTCTCTCCGTCTTTTTATAGAAGCAAATTTCCTTCCCTTTTGGGGCTGGATGTTCTTTATATATTGTTTTTCCTCTTTCTCTTTTACCCACTGACTTTCTGGCAAACAGCAAAAGTGATAAGCTCCTGTTAAATACCCTCCCGACTGAGCCTGAAAGTCATCCCTGCCCTTGACTTACCTGGCTCTAGATGTCGATAAGGAGCAATGAATATGCATTGAAATCCCTGATAGCTTCCCAGCAGTGGTGAAAAGAAATGATGAATGAGGCCTTTGTGAAGCACCGGGAGCAAAACACTGGGTTCTGTTTCATCCCTGATGCAAAGTTGCCGGGAGACTTTTGCTTTGGGCTCAGATTGCTGATGAAAAGTTGCTCGGCTGATGCTGTGGTGTTTTGGGAGGTGCTGTTCCGTGGTGCAAGGGCAGAAAAAATTCTGAATTTTGGGTGTTTGGAGGTGACACGTGTGTGCCCACACAGTGCCAGCCCTGGGGCTGTCACAGCTGCCTGGAGCCACAGGGACACGAACAGTGCCCAGCATTGTCCCTTTACTCTTGCAGTGCTATTTAATGGCCCTAAATCCTCTTAGCTCTGCTCTTTGAGACCCTTTGTCCACAGGCAGGTAGGGAAAGGAAGAGTTTCCTTATTTAGGTATTATCCTTTCCTCTTCCCTTTATCTAATAATTGTGTGGGGTTTATGCAAAACAGACTTGCACTCATAGCTTGGATGAGGATGTGAGATTGTTGGAGGGGGGAAAGCGTTTTTCTGGGTGTGTTGCACAGCTCCCTTGTGCCCCAGCACAGAAAATTGGCACTTGCTGCCAAAATCTTTGGGAGCTGCCCTGGGGTTTTGAAATGCAGCGCTGGGCAGGGGGCAGGTTGCACAAAGGGAGGGAGTGAGGGCAGCTCCAGCTTGAGGAATGAAACAAAAAAAAAAAGAAATTATATTTTAGTTAGTTTTTGAATCTCTTGCCTGCTGAGTTTGCTTTGGTGAGAAATTTGGGAAGATGATGGGTGGCTCCTCTCTCCCATCTGGGTACCAGTGCCATAAATCTTCCTTGTGGCCTTAACTTGGTTTCTCCAGCTGCTGGATTTATTTATTTACTTAGAAGGGGATGTACTTTGCATGTTCTATGGGTACCTCTCAGTTTTTTTGCCCGTTTCCTGACAAAAACCTCCCCCAGCTCCGTGTCCATCCCCGGGTGCCCCTGGCATCCCCCTGTCCCACCTTCAGGCAGCTGTGGCAGGCAGGCAGAGCTCTCCACCCAGGCCGTAATTAATGGGGTTTTATGGCTCTGCCACCAGCCACTCACTCCTGCATTCCTTTCCTATGAGCTCTCTGTACTCACCGGGTGCATGGAAGGAAGGGTGGGTGAGAAATCCCCTGCAGGGTCCCATCTGTCCTGGAAATGCTGCCAATGGGTTTTCCTTCCAGCTGTTTGACATGGACCCTCTTCACCGCAACAACAAAAACCCCAAAAACACAAACAAAAAAAACCCCAAAAAACCAACCAACCAAAAAAAAAACCCCAAAAAATCCCAACAACCGAGCTTGGGTTTGCGAGGAAAAAAGGGATAAATACACTTGGATATCTGCTTTTAAATGCTGCTAGTTCTGCTAGTTCTGTGGTTCTCTTGCCTTGTCTGTCTTCAAAGTCCAATAGCTGGTTGTGTCTCAGCTGGAAATTTAGTGAAACATTTTAGGAGATGCTTTCTGTGGGTGAAGATCTGGACCAGAGCTGGTGTTTCAGCACAGACACTGCTGCAGGGATGGGTCCAAAATCCTTGGCTGTCATTGAGCTTTTCATGGAATTGCCAAGCCATTGGAATGTGAAGTTGTGCTTGCCTTGATTTTGAATTTTATTTTTTAAATAATTTTTTATTTTGGTTGCAAATGTGGAAATTGAGGCACAGAGGCTCTCCAGGGAGCCTGGGCCAGCTGCTGGCTCTTTGCCCACTTTGCACCCATCAGGATGTTCTTGCTGTGGCTTTAGAGTTTCCTCCAGCTGCTGAAGGACTTGGAAGGAGTCCAGATGAAAACAAGTGCCTTGTTGGGTCAATGCAGGGTGAGCTGGAGAATTAACAGCTCCTGTTCTTTTTCCTTGCAGCCTGTGGGCCTCAGCTTGCCAACTCCCCCACTGTGATAGTCATGGTCGGCCTCCCAGCCCGTGGCAAGACCTACATCTCCAAGAAGCTGACGCGCTACCTCAACTGGATCGGTGTCCCCACAAAAGGTGAGGCCTGCACTGGCTGCCAGGGGAAAGCAGGAGGTCTGGTCCTCAGGAATTCCTCTAGATCACTGCTTTGGGAGATGGGAGGTAGTGGGAGATGTTTCCAAGATCCCACAGGCCAAATAGAAATATCTGTGTTTTCATATCCTGGGTTCTCCTTCACTTTGAAGACCAAGGGATGCCCTGAGGATGTAATGTTGTGGCCCCAGCTTGCTTTAACTGCACAAGGTACACAACCCTCATTTTGATTTTTTTTGTTTTTGTTTTTTTTTTTTTTTTTTTTGTTTGTTTTTTTTTGTTTTTTCCTTTTCCCACCTAGTTTTCAATGTTGGAGAGTACCGCCGTGAGGCCGTGAAGCATTACAGCTCCTATGACTTCTTCCGTCCTGACAACGAGGAGGCCATGAAAGTCAGGAGGTGAGGGTGGGCTCCCTGACCCCACATGGTGCTGAGGCCCATGGCTGGGAGCAGAGTTACCCAGTTTGGGGCTGATGGACAGAGAAGCTGGGCTCTGAATTTCCCCTGGACTTGAAATTCAGAGTTGGGGTCTGATTTTCTTCCAAGGTTTCTGAGGGCTCGAAACTGAATCTGTACAGCATTGGTGACTTCAGGGTGACCACCACTCCCTGAGGACACCAGGGCCACACATCTGTCCCTGTTTTGCAGGCAATGTGCCATGGCTGCCCTGAGGGATGTGAAGCTGTACCTGACGGAGGAGGCCGGGCAGATTGCGGTGAGCTCCAGATGTGCTCAGATGGGGTTTGGCAGTTGTGCTGACCCCAAAAATCCTCTGCAGTCCCTTCTCTGAGGAGGGGCTCTCTGGGAAACCAGGCCCTTGTGGTGCTCATTGAGATCTTTTGCTTCTGAAGGTTTTTGATGCCACCAATACCACGAGGGAGAGGAGAGGGATGATCCTGAACTTCGCCAAAGAGAACGGGTTCAAGGTCGGTGCCATGGGGCTGGTGCCTGCATTGTGAGGCCCACTGTGGTGTAGAGTTGGTGTATCTTGTCTAACTCATGTGTTGTCCTCATGCTGCTCCTGTGTGAGGGAGATTTCACTGCTGGGTTTGATTAAAAACATGAAAATCTTCCTTCATTCCCTGTACTGAGCCATGGGGAGGGAAAGGATGGGAATGAGGCAGAGGAGGAGCTCTCTGGTCCAGCAGGGAGGAGGCTGGGTTGAGCAAGGAGCTGGTTGAATGTTATAAACCTTGTTTTGGTGGCTTTCAGCTGAGCTCTGCTTTGCTTCACAGGTGTTCTTCATTGAATCTGTCTGCAATGATCCCAACGTGGTTGCCACCAACGTTATGGTAAGTGTGGCACTGGTGGGAATGTCCTGCTTTTGCTTTCCCTCCATGGAGAGGTAGGAATGGCATCACCCTCACAAGCTCTGGTCTTCATGGTGGGCTTCAACCAGCCTGAAGGTACAGCCCAGCATGGCACTGCCAGTCCAGGAGGTTCCTGGAGTGTGTTGGTGACTTCCTTCTCCAGGTGACAGCACCTGTTCTTGTTTGCTCTGTGCTGCACCTTGCAAGGAGGGGCTGCTGAGGAATGTGGAGCTCCAGCGCAGCCTGTGCTGCAGCAGCTGTCAAGTGAGATGAAAGGAAAGCAGGTTTTGGCCTGGAGTTCTGTGGGATAAAAAGCCCAGGAGGGAAGAGGGGCCCAAGAAAACTGGTTCATGTTCAAGGATCATCTTCTCCAAGTTCAGCTGTGATGCAGCCATCAGTAATGCCAGGATGGACAAGGAGCTCCTGGACAAACTCAAAATCAAACACTAAAGGAAGCTTTCAGAGAGAGGCTGTAAGCAAGGACAGGCAGCCTGGGAGGAAAACAGAGACTGGCTGTTCAGACAAGAATTGGGTTGGGAAAAACAAAGCCCTGACAGAACTGGGGGACTACAGGTGCAGTCTCACATCAGTGTTTGGGAAGAAAGTGAAGCAGATCATCCTGGAAACTCTGCTGAGGCACATGGAAGATAAAAAGGTGGTTGGAGGCAGCCAGCATGGCTTCACTGGAGGCAAACTGTGCTGCCAGCCAGGGGCTGAAGAGTGTCTTTTGCTCCTGCTGGGAGCTGTTATCCCAGTGACCAACTTTTTGCAAACAGCCTTTTCTACAACAAAATGCTCTCTTTGCTACTTTTTTTCCCCCCAAGCTGGATTTTTTTTTTTGAGGATTTTAATCCCTTTATTTGGAAACTAATGCTTGAAGGGTGAGAAAATCAGCTCCTAGCTGAGCATGGGATTTTGCTCCACAGGGAACTGCAGATGAATGGTGCTCTTAGTGCTGGGATCAGTGTGGAAAATACACCCCAGGCCTGGGATGCTGCCACATGTGTTGATCCACTATGTTATCCTGTTGGTTTCAGGGCTGCTTGTGAAGTTACCAGTGTGTAATGCTGCTGTTCAAACCCAAATCTTCAGGAAAAGCAGCCTGTTAGATTAGTTCAGGCAGGATTTAGTCCATGAGGGTTGTGGATATTCACACTGCCTGTTTCTAGGGTCTTTCAGCCCAACAGCTTGCAGCAAATAATGCACAGAAAGGGGTTGAATGTTCCAATCCCACTGTCCTGCTGCTGAGCTGGGATAAGCATCTTATCTACATCCATGCACTTTCCTTTCTCAGCTTGAATTTGAACCTGATGGGGTTTTTTAGCCATTGGGAAGCTCAGCTTTCCTGCTGTTGGGTGGTGCAGTGCTAGCCCAACTTCTGCGAGAATGGGAGTGGATTGGTGGGTTTCTGTACTAATCATGCAATGGTTGATAGCAAATTCTCCCACCTGATGCTTGGTTTTGGGTCTAATTTGCTTCTTTTCTGCCCTGTGATGAGTGATGACTATAAAGAACTCATCACTTCAGTTTCAGCTAATCACTGCATCTTGGCAGGACTTTAAAATTCCAGATTAGCATTGTCTGGCTTGGAAAGCATCCTAACCTCTCCCTGTGGCATGTTTTTTTTTTATTTCTGTTCCAGGAAGTGAAATTGTCCAGCCCAGATTACCGGGACTGTAATTCCACTGATGCCATGGAGGATTTCATGAAGAGGATCAATTGTTACCAGGCCAGCTACCAGCCCCTCGACCCTGATGACTATGACAGGTGAGAGACCTTGACTTTGAGCTGCCTTGAGCACCTGCCCTCTGCCAGGAGAGCAGCAGTGAAGGGTGGAGCTGTATTTCACTTTGTCTTCAAACATCTGACTGTGCTAGAATGATTTACGGCCAGGCCTCAGCTTGAATTCAGGCCTTTCATAGGAAAATTCTCCTTTCCACAGGCCCTGTGCAGGGAAATGGGCGCACTGATGCCTTGCCAGGCTCCTCTGGGCTCAGATGAGCTGTTTTCAAGCTTGTTCTGCATGTCCAGATACACAGGCTTTGGGAAAGCACTTGAGTTGGAGTGGTTGAAGTGCTTTTTTCATTGTCTCAGTGAAGGGAAGGGACAGCTTGGCTCAAAGCACAGGGTTGAGCAAGCCCTTTGGCTCCTGCCTGTGTGCCTTGGGAGAGCTTTGCTGTCCTGCCTGACTCTGCAGGCACCTCCCAGCCTCTTCAAGCTCACAAACACTCCTGTGTGCCCTGTGTGGATTGTCCCTGTCCTGGGGAGCAGCATGTTCCCTGTTAGTCCTGTTTAATCCTCTTTGCTGCTGCAAGAGGAGGGGTGGTGATTACACTGCTGCTATTCAGCTCTCCATGAATCCCCACTACCTGTGGGCTCCCTGCTGAAAATAGCCTGCAGGAAATCCTTTGAGCTGGGTGATTACATGGGCAGAGATAACTCACAGGGCTGCTGCTTTGGAGAATGACAGGAAAGCAGGAAAAGGGGAAAGTGCTTCCTGGAGAACTTGTAAACCAGAGGGAAGCAGCTACAAGAGAATCATGCAGGTTGAAACCTTGCATGATGCCACATCTGGTATCACAGCCCAGATGTTTTCAGCTGGTGTTAACTGAAGTGACATTTATAGAGGTTATGCCTGTGCCAGAACACAACCTGAACATCCAAAGCAGAATATTGAAAAGAATATATTTTTTCATGATGGCAACTCTTTTAATATCTATATTAATTATTCCAGTATATTGTAATGTTTTGTTCTAATCAATGCAAATGACGTGGGATTGTGATTATGTTAAAAAATAACACTAAATAAATGGGAGGAATAAATTGACATTGTGAAATTACTTAATTTTTCTTATGCTTCCTGTCACAGAAGCAATATGGAGCTATTGGGCAAAAGAAATCAAGATCCCTAACCTGTGCATTTTATTCATTAAGATTTTCATCTCTGTTTAAAAATAAAATTGATTTTTTTGCCCTTTCAAGAAAAATAACTTTATGGAAAAGAGGAAAGACCGAAGAATGAAAAGCAGAAAGTTCTTATTTTGCAGATTTGAGGGGTCTAAGTTGGAATCAGACCTTGTCATTACAGAAAGGATGAGAAATTAAGAAATATTGGACTTATGAATTGATTATATATATAAATATGTATAAATATATATATTTATATATATTTATATACATTTTTATATATTTTTATATATTAAATATATATATAAAATATATAAGAATATATAAAAATATAATATATATAAACATAGAAATATATAAAAAGACATAAAACATGTAAAATATATATGAATATATAAATAATATATTATAGAAGATTTATATAGCATTTATATAGCATTTATATAGCATTTATATAGCATTTATATAGCATTTATATAGCATTTAAATAGCATTTATAGTCTCTGTCTGTCCCCAGGGAACTTTCTCTCATCAAAGTCATCGACGTGGGCCGGCGGTTCCTGGTGAACAGGGTCCAGGACCACATCCAGAGCAGGATTGTTTATTACCTGATGAACATCCACGTCCAGCCCCGCACCATCTACCTCTGCCGGCACGGGGAGAGCGAGTTCAACCTCAAGGGCAGGATTGGAGGCGACTCTGGCCTCTCCAACAGGGGCAAGAAGGTGAGGGAGATGGAAAATGTCCCCCTGTGGCTGCAGTAGATGCTGTGCCTTGGGTTAAATGTGTGAGGAATGGTTACTCATAGCTTAGCAAGGTTTATTAAACCCTCAAAAATACAACAGAAGACTGAGTACGCAAAAAAGGTTACAATGACTTTCCCTGCCATGTGCTCAGCCCCGTCACAATGGAGGTATTCTCTTTTTAACCCTTTAACCCCTCCCAAAGTTCTGTCCATCAACCCCTTCTTCCCTGCTTTCCTACTTCAGAAACAGAAGTAGAACAAGAGAAAAGTGGCATTCCCACTGGTTTTGGCATTGTGGTGCAGTGAACCAGCTTCCACAGGTCTGTTGCTGAAGTTGGATGTGTGGTATCAATGCACTTCAGCTGCCACAAGCAGGGCTGCAGGTTTAGCTGGGACACAAACACTTCTCTCCAGCTTTGAGTCACCAGAAGGTTTTCCATGATTCCAGCATCCTCAGCAGTATGGGTTTGAAGTTCATGTGCTGAAGAACCTGCTGCTTGGCTGGAATGCACTCTCCAGCTCCTCAGACAGACCCAGCTGTTCTGTCATGGACACTGCAGTTGTGAAAGATCTGTTTGTTTTGTCTTTTGGATTTACACATTTCATTTGTCCAATGTGAAAGCAGCCACTCTGAGAACATCTGAGAATCTGGTGGATTCTCTTTGCAACACCCCAGATATTTACTCCACCTTTGCTGTCCAGTGGTGGAGATCTCTTCCTCAAATACTGACTGGAGGTCAGATGTCACCACAGTGACAAGCCAGCCTTCCCAGATGTCCCTTGATAACAATGCAACAGGGTACAACATAACTATAAATCTATGAAACTTTTCTTGACATGATATTTGTCTGTTAGTTGTGAGAGTCAGTCATTACTCATCTATCAAATGCATGTTTGATGACAGCTGAGTTTCTGAGAGTACATCTGCAGCTTTTGGTGATCAATGAATGTGTGGCTGCCTTTCCCCTCAGAGCATTAGGCTGATCTTTCTGTCTGTGGAAGGCAACACTTACTGGGAATAGGGAACGAGGGAAGCTGTGGACCAGGAACCAATCTCTTTTTTCCTATGTCCCACAGTTTGCAGTGGCACTGAACAAATTTGTGGAAGAGCAGAACCTGAAAGACCTCAAAATTTGGACCAGCCAGCTAAAGAGGACAATCCAAACAGCAGAAGCTCTCCAGCTGCCCTATGAGCAGTGGAAGGCACTCAATGAGATCGATGCTGTGAGTATCTGTGCAGCCACAACAGCTGGATGGGGCTGAACAAAAGAAAGAGAGGTTTTGTCTGGTGGTTGTGCTGAGAGCATGTCCAGTAACCTCGTGTTTGTCCTGCCCTGGCAGGGTGTGTGTGAAGAAATGACCTATGAAGAAATCAGGGAGCAGCACCCAGAGGAATTTGCCCTGCGTGACCAGGATAAATATTACTACCGTTATCCTTCTGGGGAGGTAGGTGTGCAGGGACACCCCTGCAAAGTCTGCAGGACTTTAAATGTGGCCTTTTTTCTCTCATTCTGTCTTCTACTCTTGAGCAGAGGAGCAGTGGGTGCTCCAAGAAACTAAAATTAAAAGAGAGCAGGGCTCATGTTTACCTCTACCTTGAGCTCTTTCAAAATCTTGCTATATGAAGATCTCACTAAGAAATATGTCACTTAACAAACAGTCCCACTGACTTTATAGCAAATTAGCATGGGAAGGTCTCTAGAGGTTTCTAGTCCAACCTCCCGTTGTTATATCTGCTCGAAGTTTTGTGCTGCCCTAATTTTCTTTCCTTTCATTTCCAAAAAAAGCAATTTTCACCTTGTTCTCAGTATCATTCCCTAAGGGTTGATGGTAATATCTCTGTTCCTGGCAGTCTGCTTTCAGGGTGTGACACAACGAGGTGGGAATTGACATCAGTTCTGGATGATACTTTAGGCTGTGAATTGAGCTGATTATCCCCAAATTGAAAGTCATGCCCATAGACATTGCAGAAAAATCTTTGGAGACATCCTCATGACCCTGTATCTGACAGAAGAATATGTGGGGATATCAGACACCAACTCTGGGTGTCTGGGGCTCCTTCTGGCAGCCTGTTGTGGTTTTTATGAAGCCCTTCAAAATCCTGGGGTTTCTAAGGTTGCTGCAGACTTCTCAGAACTTTAAAATCCTGTACCAAATCAAATGTCAGGATGATGGAGAGGCTCGGTCTTCAAATCCCTTGTTGCTTCCCTTAATTAATTCTCCAGGCCTGAGCTGTGATTCACTGAGATGTGCATGGCTCCTTCTCTGACAGAAGAATTAGAAGTTCCAGAGCAGCCTGGGGATGAAGATTTATTTGTCTTTAGCAGTTTGGTTTGCTCAGAGGCACGGAATCAGGAGTTGTACCAAGACAAGGACTGTTGTTTCTTTGGGATGCTCGCTGCATTGATTCCATACCTCACCTCCCTTCCCTTCTTCCCCAGTCCTACCAGGACCTGGTGCAGCGCCTGGAGCCGGTGATCATGGAGCTGGAGAGGCAAGAGAACGTCCTTGTCATCTGCCACCAGGCTGTCATGCGCTGTCTCCTGGCCTATTTCCTGGACAAGAGTGCAGGTGAGCTCCCTGTCCCTGGAAAAGGATTGGTCCTGCTGGAGGAGGGATGATGGATGCAGCTCTGGGCTGGTCACATCCTGCAGTGTGTGATGGTGTTCATGAGAGGCCTTAAGATGAGGGAAGAGATGAGGATCTGACTCTGTGTTTCAGAAGGCTTGATTTATTATTTTATCTTATTATATATAAATTATATATCAATATATTATTTTATTTATTGTTCTATATTAATATATTTTATTATATATTAATATATTATTTATATTATTATATCTATTGTATTAAAACTACACTAAAAGAATAGAGTATTTCATCAGAAGGCTAGCTAAGAATAGAGAAAGAAAGAATGAATGATAACAAAAGCTTGTGTGTTGGACAGAGATTCCGAGCCAGCTGGCTGTGATTGGCCATTAGTTAGAAACAACCAACATGGGCCAATCACAGATCCACCTGTTGCATTCTACAGCAGCAGATAACCATTGTTTACATTTTGTTCCTGAGGCATCTCAGCTTCTCAGGAGAAAAAATCCTAAGGAAAGGATTTTTCATAATTTGTGTCTGTGACAGCAGTGTGCATGTCTTTGGTGTGGGATGAAGGTGTCTGAGCCTCCTGCTCAGGTAACCCTCCTGCTTTGCTGTCTCTGCAGATGAAATGCCCTACCTGAAGTGTCCCCTGCACACAGTGTTGAAGCTGACCCCGGTAGCCTATGGTGAGTGAGACCTTCCTAAACATGCCAGGGGGGTTGATTTGTCCCTCCTCCTGACTCCAGGCTGTCTGGGGGAAAAGCAGGGATCTGTGGTGGGGTCCTTGGGAACATCCTGTGTCTGCTGGCCCTGCTGATCTGTCCCTTTGTGCAGGCTGCCGGGTGGAATCCATCTCCCTGAACATTGAAGCAGTCAACACCCACAGAGATCGGCCAGAGGTGAGTGCTGCTTTTCCCTGGAGCTGTCCTTTGGTGTCCCCTTCCTGTCCCCTGCGGTCACCTGGCAGTGAGAACTGCCAAATCCTGCCTGGGGTGGTGGTGGGCATGGGGAGATTGCTCAGCTGGGTGCTTGGAAGTGCTGCTGGAAGACTGGGAGCATCAGATGTGTTCCTGCTCTGCAAAGTTGTGGCCAGCTGAGGGTTTTCCAAGGGAACAGGACTGTTGCATGTTCCTGCTTCCCTGTGTGTTTGCCCAGGGAAAACTCCTCCCTGGTCTCTGACTTCCACATGCATGGTCATCCACTGGCCCAAGCAGGGAGTGGAGCTGTGGATGATGGAGAAGGTGGCTTCTCCCAGATGTCCCAGGTGGCTGGCAGAGCCTGGGCTCAATGCTTGCCCTCCATCTGCCTCTGAGGGTGTTTTCCTGGTATACACGTGGCTCTGTGTCCTTCTGCAGGGTGGGAGGTGGCAGTGCTGGGCTGGGGATGCTCTGTGGAGAGAAATTCCTGTAGGGTTGGGTCTGTCTGCCAAGTGCTCCACTGGAACTCAGAGGGCAGAACAGGAGGATGCAAAACTCAATGTCAGGGCTGGGCAGCCACACAGAGTGGGCAGCACCCATGTCCCAAGATGCTGGGACTCTTCCAACTTGTGCTTAGTGGTGGAGCCCAAAGTGATGCTTCTGGCCCACATCTCCTTTCCTTTGCTTCCCCTGTCAGGTGGCAGCACCTGAGCTGCCTGTCCCTCCCCGCAGCTGTGGGGGGAAGCCAGTCCTTCCCCCTGCACGGGGACACTGATGTCCTGCTCTGCCACCCTCTCTGGGGATGGCAGCAGGGCCTTGGCTAGGACAGGGTGAGACAAGTGCCAAGTGCTTGGGTGCCCCTGCTCAGCTTTGCCTTCATCCCCCTTGCTTGAGTTGGAGCTTGGCGTGGTGCTGACCCTCGCTGCCTGCTCTGCTCCCATGTCCCAAATCTTCCTGATCAGCCTGGGCTGGCTCATCTTCCCTCTTCTTGCTTTCACTCCTCTCTCTGGGTGGAGGGACCAGCTTTGAGGAGGAGACTGATGGGCACCTCTGTGTCCTGCAGGCTTGTTGGCTGCTGGGTGTGTTCAGCTACCTGTAGTTACCTTTTTTTTTGTCAGCTGAGGCTCAGATAAGGAGAAAATCTGTCTCATATCTGAGTGCAGAGCCATTTTTTTTCCTCCCTTCCCCTTCTGTGCTCTTAAGCATTTTTTGCATCAGGGATTTTTTTTTGTGCCCAGAGACTTCCAGTGCATCCTTTGCTGTTGGACAGTGACTGTGGGGAAAAGCAGAGACCACTCTAAGATTTAAAACAAAGAAAACCAAAGCAACTTGCTTCTTTTTTTTTTTCCTTTATAACTGTCGCCTTCTTCCTTTTTTCCTTTATTTTGCTTTATTTTTTTATATTTACTTTTATTTTCTTTGTCTCACTTTAATTTAGGAAGCAAAGAAGGGACCTAACCCGCTCATGAGACGTAATAGCGTTACCCCTCTAGCAAGCCCTGAGCCCACCAAAAAGCCTCGCATCAACAGCTTGGAGGAGCATGTGGCTGTTTCTCCTGCCCTGCCAGGCTGTGTTCCTCAGGAAGTGCCCACGCAGATGCCGGGACAAGTTAGTTGAACTCTTCTTTTTTTTTTTTTTTTTTCCTTATTTCCTTTTTATTTTTCTTTTTTTTTTTTGTTGTTGTTCTCGTTGTTTTATTGTTTGTTGTCTTCCTGTCCACTCCTGAAGCTGAGGAGCTGCTTGCACTTGTCGTGAGCTGTGCTGCTGTCTGAGATGCATCTTCCTCCCCATGGCTGCTGCCCCTCCCTGCCTTGGGTCGCTGTTGATCCTCTCTTGGGTTTTGAGAGCACCATCAACTTCCACCAAGCTCTAGGCTGCATTAATTTAGTGCCATCAGCCTCCTGAGGGGTCTCCTCCCTGGAGTGAGCAGGAACAAAGGGCTCGTGCCTTCCCTTCCCTCTGGGTGTGCTTGGCTCTGTTGTAGGCCTGGCCACGGCAGTAAATCAAATGCTCTTGCGCTTCTCTGAAGGAGGAGCTGCTGCCAAGACTCCTCTTTGGCTGGAAGGGTCTCCTTCATGCTGGAGCTGTAGGCAAGAGGGACCAAAATTGAGTAGAAGGCTCTTGGTGTTGTGAACCTGGGTGAAACCCTGCCATGGTGCTCATGTGTCCTCTCCTCTGTCACCCATCCATGAAGGCACATAGGAGGAGAGGCCTTGCTTGCTGCTCACTTTCCCAGGCACAAACCCCTCTCCTAAGCTCACTGAGGAGTCCTGTATGATCTACAGGAGCCTTTGCCATGCTGCCCTCCCCACCAGCTGCCTGTTGGATATGGCTGTCTTGCCCAGCCCCTCTCCCTGCTGTCTGTGTCGGTGTGATGTCCCCTCCTTGCCCAGGTTAGGAATGGCTCCATGCTCCACCACTGCTCTGCTTGGTTGCTGCTTTGCATGAGCCTCCCAGGACAGCTGGGTCTGTGTCAGCTCCCAGGGCTCTGCTTGGGCTGGTTGAGCCTCACAAAAACACCTTTTATCAGCTCTGGCTGCCCAGTGCCCCTCGCTGCTGTCCACTGTCCTCTGCCCGGTGCGGCACAGAGTTACTGACACCTCTCTCTGTTCTCTCTGTCTCTCTGCAGCCTTTACTAGGGAAGGCATGCCTGTAAGTACCTTCTTGCCTCTTATTCCCCTTTCCAACCCTTTTTTCCATGTCTCTTGCCATCCTGCTGGGTTGTTCTGTTGTTGCAATATCTGGACGGGGTGTGGATTTCATGGAGTTCATGTTTTGCTGGTTTGGGGGGGATTTGTTTTAGGAAGGGTAAAGAGGAGAGTGTGGGTGCTGGTTTGTATCCTAGCTGGATGGAATGTCCCAGTTTTGTTGTGAAATTAGGCAAGTTATGATTTTCACTCTGCTGGTGATGCTGTGGGATTTTCCTGGAGTTGTCTCCTCTGTGATAGCATGTTGTACTGTAGGTGAGAGACCTGGGTGCTCTGTCCTTCCTGAGGGCTCTGGGTTGTGAGTGATGGCACCTCACCATCATACCTCATACCCCTCACATACCTCAGAGGGGTATCTGAGAAGCTTCTGATCTTCTCAGGAATGTGTTTTCTGGAGCTGGATGATCCTGGGACCAGCCATCTGCAAACTTGGATTTTGGAAACAGCCAGCCTAGGTGTTGTGGGCAGAGTGAATGGAAATTGTCCTTCTCTAGCTCTGTTAAGAAAGCAGAACACCATGAGCATTTCATGCATTAATGATGAATAATCAAGGCTCTGGCAGCTTGGCTTAGGGCTGTTATATCCCTGAGGAACAGGAACAGGACAGCTCCTGGGTAAATTTGAAGCCATTGGACTGAGTTAATGGTACATTGGGTTGAGAGCAGCAGTAGTGTGCTCAGAGGTCTTCTCAAAGACTGGGAAGACTTTGGGGCTGAGCTGATACTGGGCAGTGTCCAGGGGGTCTTTTTGCCCTCTGAGGCCAGTTTAAGTCAGCCTGTGAGCATCCCTGGCTTGGGTTGTTTTGTGGGCTGAAGATGGAGGGATCTGCTCTACCATGGCCAGGCCAGAGCTCAGCCCTGCTTGCCTGTAGGAGCTTTGGAATCTCATATTTCTTCCCCTTTTAGAGTAAACATTTTTGAGAAAAGGAAAGTTAGGACTGTTGCACTTGGCTTTGCTGGTGGCTGGGTTAGGTGAGATCACTGAGTGTAGAAGCTGAGTTGCTCAGCATGGCCTGCATGCCTGTGATCCTCCCCTTGCTGCTCATGGCCAGGAAAGCCCCTGATGAAACCTGCTCCTCTTGGGTTGCTCTGAAAGCATTTTAGGTTTTGTCCATCCTTCCCTCCACCTTTTTCACATGTTTATTGGAACAAAAGGCACTGCATGCCTTGGTGCTGGCTGGGAGGCTGGAAACACCCTCAGGTGTTGAGTTTGGAGATGGATGTGTCAGATTTTGCTGGAGCAGGCAGTGATGGTTTTACCCACACCAGGTGTGGGCTGGCAGCAGCAAGTTTAAATCTCCAGCTGCTGGAAGCCTGTGTCCTTCTCCTAGTGTTGGCTTTGTGTCACCCATGGGGACATGCCAACCCCAAGGCTTGGTGACACGCACACTGCTGCTAGCTCTGGGAGGCTGCTGTCCTGCACACTGCTTTGTCCCTCACTGTCACCTCCTGTAAGGGGCTGGGGAGGTGGAAAGTGCCTCTGTCACAGCTTGAATCATGAGCCTGGGTTGGTATGGGAGCTTCACTGCATCAGCCCTCACTGCTGGGGTCTTGATTCCCATCCAGGAGGACCAGGGGACACCTGGGGATGTGGCTGAGTGCCTCACAGTCCTCCTGGCTGTGGGATTGAGCTGGCTGGGGGTTGTGGGATTACCTGGTGTGATGGTTTCTTTTCCTTTTGCTTGCTTTGTGATCCAAAGTGCACTTTTGAACAGTCACCTGATTCCCCCCTTCCCTTCTTCTTCCCTTCACTTTTCATGCTTAAAAAGAAGACCCGTTTGTCACTTTCTCAAAGTTTTCTCTTTGCTAATATTTCCAAGGTAAATGGCTGTGGTGCATGTGGCTTTTTCTCACCCTCCTCCTGTCTCCTTAGGCAACAGAGAGAACAGCTCAGCCTGCTCTGCCTTGTAGCCTGGCTGGGATTGCTGGTGCTTGTAGGAGCAGCTTAGGTAGTAAAAGCATTAAAAAAACTCAACAAACCAACCAACAAACAAAAAAACTTGACAAAAACCAAACTAAACAAAGAAAACAAAAAAAGAGAATCCTTCCTAGCTGTTTCCTAGTCCTTTTTTCCCCTACCTTGTTCCATGTAGTTCTGTGAGTTGGGCAATGTCCTTGTGGTCCCCTGGGCTTTTCCTGGAGCAGATCTCTCCTGGGGGCTGCTCCTGCTTGTGTGTAGCTGGTTGTCTCTGGTTTTGTGGTCCTCACCACGTGCTGGTGGGTACCTGTTGTCATCATCCTGTACCAGGGCTGTGTCTGGGGTGTGTCTCAGGCCCATGAGACCTCATGGAGTGTCACCAGGGCAGTAGTGCTGCTGCTCTACCTCTGGTGGTGGGTGGTCCTTGGCATGGCCAGCGGGATCTGCCTGTTCTTGGCATTGCCAAGGATGGACAAACAATGGCCTTGCCCTTGGCAGGCAGGGAGGACACTGCCCACCCTCAAGGGGAGCAAGAGAGAGATGTTTAATTTGGCTTAAATGAAGACCATGGTCCTCTGTCACCTTGCCTTGACCAAAGAGCAGCTTCAGAAGGGCAGACAGGGTGGAGTGGGAGGGTGTGGATATTCTCAGCTCGGTCGAAGAAAGAACAGAGATAATTTCTCCCAGGCTGAGAAAAGAATTAAAACAATGGAGAAAATAATTAAAACAATTATTAGTTCTCCTTCTTTAATCATTGTTTATAGATATGGTTCTCCAGAGTGTGCTATTCATAGTCACCAATAGTGTGAGGGGTTTTTACTTTGAGACCAAGTCTCACCTTAGCCCGTCACATAGAACTACAGAATAATGAGGTTGGAAGAGACCTCTAAAATCGAGTCCAACCCCATGCCCTCACACCTCAACTAGACTGTAGCACCAAGTGCCATGTCCAGTCCCACAACCTTCATTAAATTGCCTTCTGATCTGCCTTCTGAACCGTGGAGTCTTACACTCCATCCCTGACTCAACAGCATCAGGAGGGGTTCAGCACAGTTTTTAGGTATATCTAAATTCTAAACCTGTAATTAAAGCCAGGCAATGCTTGAGGAGCGGCTTGTGACCGTGTTCACAGGGATCTGAGGATGAGGGAAGAGATGAGAATGTTGACTCCATGTTTCAGAAGGCTTGGTTTATTATTTTATGATATATTATATTAAAACTATACTAAAAGAATAGAAGAAAGGATTTCATCAGAAGGCTAGCTAAGAATAGAAAAAGAATGATAACAAAGGTTTGTGGCTTGGACAGAGAGTCTGAGCCAGCTGGACTGTAATTGGCCATTAATTAGAAACAACCACATGAGACCAATCACAGATGCACCTGTTGCATTCCACAGCAGCAGATAACCATTGTTTACATTTTGCTCCTGAGGCCTCTCAGCTTCTCAGGAGAAAAAAATCCTAAGGAAAGGATTTTTCATAAAAGATGTCTGTGACAAGGAGCTGAGCAGTGGGTCAGTCACTGCCTGTCTCCTCGGCTGGGCAGTGTCCTCCCCTCTGTGGTGGGTGCTTTGTGGTGACCCGTGTGTGGCTTTGTTCCCATGTTAATGTGTTCTAGAAGGTGCTGCTGGGCTGGAGCCTGACCCCAACCCCTCCTTCCCCTCTCATTGCAGAACATGAACAACTCCCAGAAGCCGTCGTGACTCCGTGGGCACCGCTGTGAGGCCGCCGGCGCCGCCAGCTTCCCATCCCATCGCCATTCCCGAAGCTTGCTTCCAACCCAGGCGGGGCTGGCTCTGCTCCCCCTGCCCCAAACCTTGCTGCTCAGTGGGGAGGGATGCAGGAGAGCCCAGGAGGAGCCCAGCTCCATCCCAGGGTCACCGCCAGCTCTTCAGGCTGCAGCGTTTGCTCTCCTCTCCGGCATCCTGTTAGGTCGTAGCGAGCTGTAAAGTGCTTCTGTAGTGCACAGGAGTTCCATTTTCTTCTCTTTTCAGTGGTTTTTGATCTTCTGTATAGATGATTGGTACCCATCTGTCTCTGGGTGGGGTGTGTATATATGTGGATGGTGCGGGGTTAGTAGAGAAATAGGGGGAAGGGGGTGGGAAAAGGGGTGTTGCGTTTATTTTATTTTAATTATTAATGTTGATAATTACTTTTGAATAAGCCCCTACCATGCTGTGCTGCAGTCCCTCACCCACACTACAGCTGGTCACACATGCCAGCCTGGCTCATGCACATCTGTGAGCACCAGGACAGCAGCTGTGTGAACTCCTTCACTGCAAGAACTGCTGGGTTTAATAAAAAAAACCAACCCATTCTTTCACTTTTTTTTTTTTTAATCAATATACCTTAAAGGGGTTTGCAGTTTTATCTGCTGCTAAAACTGGTTGAAAGATGCCTGCAGTGCATGAGGAACCATGCCAATAGGGGCTTGGCTGATGCTTTCATCTTGGGGAGCAGCCAGGGATGGTCTGAGTTCAGGCATGGGTTGAATTTTGGGGAGGCTGGGCACTGTTTGAGGTGCTGTGCTGGTACTTCACCTCCCCTTTCTTCTTTTTTAGCTGGAAGTGGAGGTATTGGGAAGGGTTTCAATCCCTAGGCTTAGATGCATTTTGTAGACACACAGGTCTCATGGAGGTGGTCAGAGGTCTGGCTGGGTTGCAGGAGTCCCTGTCTGACTGCAAAGAGCCACAAGAAGGGACAATTTTGTCTGTATTTTTTTAATTTTATATATACATGCACACACATCTGTGTGTGTATGTGTATACTTAGAAACTGCTTGGTTTTTGCACTTTATTTGTGGCAGAAGCATAACTACTTTATTTTTTCCTAGTTGTGCCCCTTAACAGGGGAAGCCTGAATACAGGCAACTTTTTCTGTTTGTTTTTAATTGTATTTTGCATGCTGGAAAGCTGGGACTACAAAATAATAGTAGTTACAGTGTTTGAGGTGGGGGGAACAGGGTGAGGACCTGACTGACTCCATCAGCCAACTCTCAGTGGTTTGATCCATAAGATCCCTGGCAGGCAGCCTGTCCTGGGCTGGGAGACAGCAGTTAAAAATGGTAATTAACCACTATTGCTTCGTGCAGAAATCTGTGGATTTTGGAATTTTTTTTTAGGGTTTTGGGTTGGGGTTTTTTTTTTTTTTCCCCATCTATATGCAACATCTTCTCCATGCCCATCTCACTTTTTTTATTTGCTGGAGGCAGGAGGTGAAGGCAGCCCCCCCCTCCTGCAGCACTAGGCTGGGGAACCGGGGGTGGGCAACCCTTTGGATTCATCCTTCCCATGGCACTCCCCAGCGTCCTGTGTAGGGAACACCATCCCCAGAGATGTTTGCTGGAGAAATGATCTCTTTGAGGGGGTGTGCATGTTTTGGGGGTGGGTTTGGTCTGTTTTTTTCCTTTGGGAAAAGGTGAACCACAGTGCCTCGTGCTCCGCGCTGGAGCGGCACCGACGGCGGGAGGGCTCCGGGGCCACGCTCAGCCCGTGTCCCATGGGGTGACAGTCCTGGCGCTGCCCTGCCTGTGTCAGCTTGTGCATATGTGTATCATAGTCCTGTACAGATAAAGCAAAGAGCACTCCCCCCACCCTGCTCTGCTTTATTTCTGTTTTAACAACCTCATTAAAAGCAGGCTTCCCCCTCCGTATGCCCTGGGTGGCAGCTGCGCTTTGGGTTTCTCTGCCTTCCAGATAAATGAATGTTTTGGGGAGGCCACTCACTTGGCTCTTTTCAACTTCCTCCTTCGTGGGGAGTTTTATCTCTCTCCTCCTGCTGCTGCTGCTGCAAAAAGATAAGCCAGCAAATACAAACATGACGTGTGGCTGCCCCGAGATCGATCCTGTACACGTGTAATTGCGCGGATGTTTTGGTGTGTGTTTGTGTGTGTATATATATAAATATATATAAAAAAAATCCAGAAAAAACCCAAAATGGCCCTAAACTTTCATCCTTTAGTAATAATAGATGTCTCAGTAGGTCTACAGAAATCTGGAATTTGAATATGGTATTTTTTCCAGCTTTGGGAAAACTGCTTTCCTGAGTTTATCATGTGCTAGAGGGGTTGGGATGGTGTCAACCCTGTGCCATCACAACTGCCCCAAAAAAATTGCTGTCCAGCTTTTTGGTTAACAGAGCCAAGGCCTGGGCAGTTGATGCCACAGCCAAGGCAGATTGTCAAACACATGTCAAACCACACCAATGATTTCTTCCCCCACCTTTCTTTTTTTGCTCTCTGGTTTGTTTTCCTTTGTGATACTTGAATTTATTTTTTTAATTTTTTTTTAAATAGCAAAGCGCTTTTTATTTATTTAATGTATACTGCAAAGCTTGGAGAGAAGGGTGTAGTTACTTGGGATTACTTTTTTTTTTGATTTGTGATATGTTAACTGTTCTGTAAATACATCTGGAATAATTGCCTGATATAAAGCTGTGCCAGCTTAAAAACAGGGTATGCCTTTCAGAAATTTGTATATTTTGCAGTTGCTGGACCAATAAAATATCTTGAAATACAGATGTGATCTGGTTCTTCCTTGTGTCAGAATTCATGCTCTCAGGCCCTAAGGGTCACCATGTGCTCTCTCATACATGTGTTCCTGTGCCTCATAAATAATAATTACCATAAAAGAGAGGTTGTGGATGCTCCATGCCTGGAAGTGTTCAAGGCTAAGTTAAAGGGGGCTTGGAGCACCCTGGTCTAGTACAAGATGTTTTTTAAACCATTCTATGAATTCTATAAGTGTTAACACCTACTTAGAACTAACAAATGCCTCCCAAGCTCCATCACTCTTGGGTAGAAAAAGTGATGTATTGGGACTTGTCCTGCCTAGATCTAAATCTAGGGTGCAAATTAGGCAGGACTAGGCTTTTATTCAAACCTAGTCTAGTTCTGGAAATTAAATACCTGGGTGCTGAATGAAGGGCTGGACAAGAGCTGTCCCCTGAGATAAGGTGTGTCTGCACTGAAGGCAGGAAAAGAACATCTGCAACTGAAGTTCCCTGTAAAGCTGTGTGTGGGTTTTTAATTAATTAATAAAAATTAACATATAAATTATAAAATATATTAATTAATATTTAATATTAATTTATTGTTCCAGAGGAAAAGTAGGAGAAGGCAGAACAAAGTGTAATTTGACATGATTTTTGGGAGCACACCTTGGGTGGGGATGCCCTTCTGTGATTAGAGGCTTGTCCCACTATGGGAGTTGTATGTCCAAAAGCTTGTGGGGAGCTGAAGGGGCTAAAAGGTGCAGAGTGCTGTTCATCCCAGCTCAGTTCCATGGTTTGGCTCCTGCTGGTCAAGTGCAGCCCTTGCTCTGCTCTCCCCTGGCCTGGCAGGGCCTGTCAGGCCTTGCTTTGGGCCAGAGCTTTTTGGGGTGCACAGGGATCATCTCCCTTCTCCCAACTGCTCTGTGCTCCAGGCCCTCTCACCAAGCAGGGTGTTCTCTCATTTTAAATGTGATTGAGGCACCTGCAATAGTATTTTCTAGGTGGCCATGCTGAGGTGTGACATTGTGGCTAGGCTCATCCCTGCGTGCATCCTGAGGAAAGGGACGACCCCAGAAAATCCAGCAGCCACCAGATTTTAATTTTTTTTAGTCATTCTTTTTATCTCTAGCAACCTGGCTGTCTCCTTGAGCCAGGCAGAGACACAACACTTGTGTTAGGGCAATGAACGTGGCCTTGCACCCTCCTCACAGGGAGCCCTGCAGGGGCTCTGATAACACCTCCAGCATGGGGTGGGCTGAGGTCACACGAAGCCACAACAGCAGTGCAGCTCCCCTGCCCTCCCCAGGGGCTCTTTGGAAGCCCTGATAAATCCTTGTCCTTGTGGGAAGAGCACGGTGAGGGGGGAAGGTTTTGCCTCCCTGGGAATGGCTTCGGGCAGCATTTCCAAGGTTGCTCTGTAAGAAAATCCCCCCCTCCTCCAAAAATCTGTTCCCTTTTCCATGTGCAGGATGGGGCTTGTGTCACACCACCCCCAAGTGAGGGAGGGGAGCCAGGGCCATCCCAGGCAGCAGCATCCTTTATTTTCCTTCCATGTGATGAATTTTGTAGCAGCATCCCAGAGAGGAGAAGCTCCTTGAGGCAGTGCAGCCTTAAAGGTTATACTCTGACAGAAGGAACATTTCCCTGCTCCCATTCAAGCCCCATTTTTATTAAAAAAAAAAAAAAAAAGAATAACCCCCCAGCTCACTGCTGGCAAGCAAGGCTGAGAGAACTTGTGATGGCTAAAAAATGAAAAATAAAAAGGGCAGAGCAGTCACGCTGGCTGACTCAGCTCTGATTGATGGCTCAGGAATGTGTCTGGGATTAACTCAACCACGGGCAAACCTTCACAATGCAGCACATTGGATGGAGCACAGCCTGCACCGCTCACCTGCCTGGGGCTGGGGAGGGGCTGCCCTCACTCATGGGGTTGGAGGGATTTTATTCCTTTTTTATCCATCTGTGAGGAAAAAGATAAAAGGAAAATGCTGTTTTCAGGAATTGCTTCGCAAGGGGCTCTAGCAGGAATTATTTGCAATATTTCTAGGTGCACTTGTGCAGTTTTGCTGCAACCACGATGTCCTGGGAAGGAATATTTATGTTGAGATATGGCATAAATCATGTCCCCCTTGTTCTTTCTTAGATAGAAGTGGAGGTATTGGGAAGGGTTTGAATGGCTTAGAGGCATTTTATAGACACACAGGTCTCATGGAGGTGGCCAGAAGTCTGGCTGGGCTCTAGCTCTGTGTAAATCAGAGTCTTGCTGCTCCTAAACTCTGCCAAATGTCAGGGTCCCTTCCCCATCCCCAGGGGAGCCCCTGCTGCATTCATGGTTAATGGAAAGCTGTGTGGATGTGAATATTTTTCCCTAATTTCCCTTGTCTGTGTGTCCAGCTCTGTCCTCTTTGAGGGTGAGCGGTGTGGTAAGTAGAAAAATTGTTTCAAAATTGAATTTATTTGTCAGCAATGCTGAAAGATGTGGATGGAGGAGTAGTGGTAAGAGTCAACACCAAAAGCATTGACATAATCCCATTAACTTAATCTAGTTGAAGATGTTCCCGCTCATTACAGGGGGGTTGGACAAGAT